AAAAAGAACACACTCAACATGTCTTATGCTGAAAGAGCCAAAGAAAAAAGTCAAGCCTTCAGTGGCAGCAGTGAAAGATTCTACAGGCAAAATGCTGAATGATGCATGTGGTATCAACAGATGATAGTAAGACTACACCCTGCTGTACCAAAAAGAGCTAGTCAACCTTCAGCCATCACAAGAAGCAGCATGTGATCAAGAACCAAAGGTAATAACTGAAGATGTCCTTGTTGCACTGAAGGCATTAGCCAAAAACAAGGTTCCATGAATTGACAGCATACCAAGAGAAATGTTTCAACAAGCTGATGAAGCACAGGAAATACACACTTGTCTACGCCAGGAAATTTGGAAGGCAGCTACCTGGGCACCCAATCGGAAGAGATCCATTTGTAAACACAAAGTGTACATTCTCAAACTGCATCATTCATATAAAATACAAGCTGGATTTTGATGAACAGCATTCAACAACAGTTGCAGGAGTACATTAACAGGGCGCTGCCTGTTGTGAACAACCAAGCAGAAATTCAAGCTGGATTCACGAGAAGATGTGGAACAAGGGATGTAACTGTTGATGTCAGATGGATCTTGACGAAGCAGAGGATACCAGAAAAATGTTTGGTGTTTCCTTTGACTATGCAAAACATTCGACTGTGAATCAAAACGAGCTATGGACAGTCTTTAGAAGCATGGAGATGCCAGAACACTGCACTGTGCTCTGCGGCACCTATACATGGATCAAGAGGCAGTTGTTCAAACTCTTTAAAAAGAGGAAAGGTGTGCATCAGGGTTGTATCCTCTCACCACACTGAATCAGTCTGTATACTGAGCAAATAATCAGAGAAGCTGGATTATATGACGGAGAACTCAGCATCAGGGTTGGAGGAAAGCTTATGAACAACCTGCGCTATGCAGCTGGCACAACCTTGCTTACTGAAAGGGAGGAGGACTTGAAGCACTTGCTGGTGAAGATCAAGAATCTCACCTTGAGTGTGGCTTACAGCTCAGTGTAAAGAAGTCCCGCATCCTCACAACTGGACCACTAGGTAACATCGCGATGAATGGAGAAAAGACAGCAGGTGTCAACAATTTCATCTTACTTGGATCCACAACCCCTGCTCGTGGAAGCAGCAGTCAAGAAATCAAATGATGCGTTGCATTATGTAAATCAGTCACACAAGGCCTCATTAAAATACTGAAGAGCAAGAACGTTGCTTTGAGGACCAAGGGGCCCGACTCAAGCCATGGTACTTTCAATCAACTCATCTGCATGTGATCGTTGGGCATGGAAGAAGAACGTATGCATCTGAATGATGGTGCTGCCACAGAATACTGAAAGTGACATGCACTGCGGAAAGGACCAGCAGATCTTTCTCAGAAGGAGAGCCAGCGTGCTCCTTAGGAGTGAGGGTGGGAGACTTTTGTCTCGGATCCTTTGGACGTGTCATCAGAAGAAACCAGTCCCCTGACCATGACATCGTGCTTGGGAAAGTGGAAGGTCAACAACAAAGAGACTGATGGTCAAAGAGAAGGACGGGCATGGTGGCTGCAAGAATGGGCTCACACACAGGAACGATTCTGACGACGGCGCAGGTCTACGCAGTGTTCCAGTCTGCTTTTGAGTCAGAATTGACTCGATAGAACCTTCGCAACACTTACGTTCATAGAAACATGTGCCAATTATATTAGGGACGGATTAAAAACCATCATGCTTGCTTAGCTGTCGGGGAGTGATTAGAAAACTTTGTATAAAATCTGGCTAGACCAGAGTATGTACACTGGTACAGATAAGAGCTGGAAACACAAGGAAGCCAGGACAGATGATTCCTTCAAGACCAATAATGAGAGTAGAGATACCAGGAGGGTAAGGGGATGGTGTGGTAGAAAGGCGATGGGCAACAGAAAAGTGGGTGAAGAGAGACACTGGACAGTGTAAGACATGACAAAATAATAATAATTTATGAATTATCAAGGGTTCATGAGGGAGGGGGTGCAAGGAGGGAGGGGGGGAAATGCAATGCTGATACCAAGGGCTCAAGTAGAAAGCAAATGTTTTGAGAATGAAGATGGTAACAAATGTACAAATGTGCTTGACACAATGGATGGATGGATGGATGGATGGTGATACGAGCACCCAATAAAATGAGTTTAAAAAAAAAGGAAAGGAAATTTTGTCCATCCAACAGATCACACCAGCCTGCCTCTTCTAAAAAGGACTTAAGCTGGCGTTATCAGCAGGATGCACATCACCGATATCACTAAACTCTACACCTGAGACGTGCAGACCTGGCGGAGACTGCGATGCACACACAACAACAAAACCATGGAGACGATGGCCGATCACACCCATGCACACACAGCAGGCAAATCAGAAGAGGTCAGAAGACACGCAACAAGTGAACAACTGAGCAGAATCACCAAGAGAGGCATTTCCCTCCCTAACAGAACAGTCTGTGGTCACGAAGATGAGCTCTTACAACCCGGCACCCGGGGGTTTTATCCATGAAGCAAGGACAAAGAGGGGGCACTCTTGACTCGGGAGCATGATCGGAATGATGCCTCCTCACATCTCCCTCCCCTGCCTCGGGGAAGCAGTTGTCCGTGGGTGGTAACACTTAGCCAGGTTTCTTGTACTTTTCCGAATCCTGTAAGCTTGCCATGAGAGAGAGTAGTATTCTCAAGATTAACCAATAGGGAGTAAACAGAGCTTATCTTTAAACACACACCCAGCACCACCAGCAGTTTCCCTTCGAACCCTTGCTGCGGAGAGAAGTGCGCAGGCTACACAGAGGCAACCCCACCCCTCGGGCCCCTGGCTGCAAGGCGCCCTGCTGGCACAGTGGTTGCTAACTGAAAGGATGTCAGTTCACACCCAGAGACAGTCACTCCTAAGGAGAAAGAGGAGGCTGTCTCTCCCCTGTGGAGGTCCTTGCTATGAGCTCTGTTTCCCCATCTCACAGCCCTGCAGTGACACAGCCAGCAGCTACCTCCAGCCCGGCTCACGGTAACTGTTCTGGGAATGGAGATGATGCAGATTATTTAAGGGCTCGGCAGCTGGCCTCGCCTTGGAATGTTTCTGCTCGCCAAAGCTGAGGCGCGACCTCCGAGTAGTGCAAGCAGCCAGCATGCTCAGCAAGTCAACCAAAGACGAGGCTCAACTACGTTCTCGGGTGCCTCGGAAAACAGACCTGGCCGTCTACTTGTGAACAGTCAGCCACTGGAAACATGCTCCACGGAGCGCAGTCCCACTCAGACACGCAAAGGCGTGCTGGGAGTCAGAATCAGCTCGACAGCAAGTGGCGTAAGACTGAGGCTGTCCTGGGATTCCTCCTTCCTGGGAATGGTCAGAAAAGCCGGGCCAGTAGCTGACAAGAGCATCTTGCTGAGGGGTTGGCCAGGGCGCCCCTTGACTCTTCCACTGGAACCCAGCAACTGCCACAGCTGAGCGGAAACGCAGAGCCAGGGGCGAAGGGCTCTGCTGCTCAGAGCCCAGGGTTGTGGGCAACGTATCGACTGCCCCGTGGGCTCCTTGGTGAAAACCAGTGGCTTATGGGCTCGGATCACTCCTTCCTGCTGGGAAGCCTGGATTCCATGGGACCCTGGCTCCCCAGCTAATGCCAACAGCTGGCACCTCCCAGGAACTCTTCTGGGCATCTAGAGTGGCATTACGAGGGGTGTGTCACCTAGTGCAAGACCTCCTCCTATACCAGACCGTAAAGACTCCTTAGT